GTGTGGATTAACCAACAGATTTCCCTCGTGTGATAACGTCCTATGTCTAAAGATCTTACAGGGGGAGGGCACAGTTTCCTGGCTAAGCAAAGGTTTCAGCCTTGATCTCCAGAAATCCAGTCTAACCACTGATTTTTAAAAGTTAGACTGTTTAGTTTTAAAGTTAATTCGTCTGGTTTAAAAGAACCAAAAAACCAAAGCAAACTATTTTGAGGCCTCTTCCTCTCAACCCTTCATTTCATTTCCTAGGAGCTTATTTAATTCACAATTAAAATGTCTTACCTGAGCCAGCTTAAAATTTAAAACGGGTGGCATCCTGATCTTATCACAAAGATTTAGCTGCCAAATTTGCTGCCTGGGTTCATCCCCACTCACAGGGGTTCTCCGGTGGCCATTTCCTTAAGCCGGAAATCTCCCAGCTTCGAAAAGAGGTGCACTAAGTGCCCCTGCGAGTGGGAATCAACCCGGGCTGGACCCAGGCAGCAAATCTGGTGGCTAAATCCTTCTGATAAGATTAGGATGCTGCCTGTTTTAAATTTTAAGCCAGCTCAGGTAAGACGTTTTAATTGTGAATGAGATAAGCTCCTTAGATGCTACATTTAGCTGTTTCTGTTTTGGTCAAATCAACAGACTTATGCAGTTGAATGAAGACGTTTCCTCTGCAACGCTGGCATCCTTTTGCTTCCTAACTGCTTGTCTTTTTAACCACCAGTGCTATGCAACAGCCTTCTTCATCTACAATTGAGATGGGCTTATGAGAACGTTAAAACATAGTACCTGTGCTTAATGATGATGTCTCAGTGGTTTGAGGGGAAGATAGTTCAGTTATTCCTACAGAGGAGATAACATCTGATTCTGGCTCTGGGTAGCCATCAGTCTTTTCCACCTGGCTGTCTTTGTTAGACCTAAGCAGACAGAATGACAACATATTATGCTTTAAAAGCAATGGCAAGAAATTACACATTAGAGTCCACTACATTATGGCCTAATTCTGCTAGTAGAAATTTTGGAACTTTCCTCTCTCCTCCTCCTCCCTTTTTTCACATCCCTGAAAACAGGCTGTGCAGAGATTTCTAGCCCTCTGGAAGAAGTTTCAGGAATGACCGGAGAATTTAAATAGGAAGCAAGAACTACCCTCCCTCACATTTTCTTATGTTCATTTCTGTTGCTGTTTTGTGCCTTCAAGTCATTTCCAACTTATGGCGACCCTAAGGTGAACCTATCATGGGTTTTTCTTGGCAAGATTTCTTCAGAGGAGGTTTGCCATTGTCTTCCCCTGAGGCTGAGAGAATGTGACTTGCCCAAGGCCACCCAGTAGGCTTCCATGGCTGAGCGGGGATTCGAACCCTGATCTCCAGAGTCATAGTCCAACATTCAAACCATTACATCATGCTGGCTCTCACATATTTATTTCTATCCCATCTTTTTCCTAGCTCAGGACTTAAAGCAGCTTAGAACAAATTAAAAAACACATACAGTTTGCCCTCTGTATCCATGGATTCCTTATCCACAGCTTCAACCATCCACGGTTTAAATTTTTTAAAAAATATATAAATTTCAAAAGCAAACCTCCATTTTGTCATTTTATATCAATGCACTGTTGATATAAAGACATCATTATACTATGCCATTGAACTTAATGAATCTTGAGCATCCATGGAGTTTGTTATCCATGGAGATCCTAAAACCAAACCCCAGTGGATAGCAAGGGCCCACTGTAGTTAAAAATTCACAAAATACAGAAGTTAAAAAAAGATTAAATGATCAAAACAATTACATTAAAACATACATAATTAAGCATGCACACAGCCCTATTCTAGCACAACAGTTAGCAAGATCCAGTGTTATTTAGGTGAGATGGGCAGTCACTCATCAAATGTCTGGGAGGGTGCCTGTCTACCTTCTCTGCAAAGATTTCTGCTTGATTCTGACATTCCACCTCTTATGATCCGCTGCTCGGTCCTTCCTTATGACACCAGCTCTGATACACCGATAACTCCTGTAAAGCTTATATAGAAGACCTGGAGTTTTCAGGCCGTAATACCAACAGCACGTTGATGATTATTGTTGTCATTTCTTAAAACATTCTGATGACCACAATGAAGCTCAAAAATAAAGGTATTTTTTCAGTGCAAATGTAGTATGTATCATGCCTTCTAATCATAAACAGGCACTGAATTTTAACAGAAGTCAAAATGAGAACACTGAGAAACAACTGAGGTATCAAAATGCTGCAACAAACCTCACGTTTTCCAAAATATTCCCCCCTAAAAATGAAGAGGCAATAAGGAATGCTCAGTAGCCATAGAATGTAGATCCAGTAACATCAAAAATCCACCAAACAGTGATCCCTTTATTGGGCCAACCAAAATGCACAATATACATGTTGCAAGCTTTGAAAGTGCCATTGGCTTCTTCATCAGGCAAGGAGAGGAAAAAAATGAAGGTGTTAGTTATAGGTCTGCATTTTGCTGCTTTTGTTCTTAGTTCAGATGGTATGAGGAGTATCTTTTGCATGGAATGCAGACTGGGAGTTGTAACATCACAAATGGATCATGGGGTAAAGGGGGAAGAGTGGAAAGCCATGCTTGAAAAGAATGGTTCACTGGAATCCTTATGAGGAGTGCTCCTTTTAGGATGAAGGGTGTGCTGCAAGATTCCCCCCATCTCCGGTAACAATTCATACTACTGTAATGTCACCACAACTTCTTCCACTATCTGCTAGCATTAATAACAGCGACAAGGAGTAAGCAAAAGGAAGAAATGCAGCATGCTTTCTGTGAGATTCACAGACCTAACTGTGGCAATGTCCTCACTCTCGAGCTGCAGAGAAACTCCCATGGCATATTGTGGACTAGTCTGAGTAAGATGCAAGGTGTTAAAAAAATCTTTAAAATAATGTCTGATTACAACCTAATAAATAGTTAATTTAGTCGAAACCCATCAGAATGCAATAGGGCAAATTCCACTATTAATAATTATGAGCAGAGTAAGAATTGTTTGATATTAATAATAACAATAATATTATTTATTTATAGCTCGTCTCTCCCCAAAGGATTGAGGTGAATAACAATCATAAAATATCACAATGAGATTAATTAAACATAATTCCCTAACCCCCAATTAAAATAGAAAACATCATAAAATACAATCAATTTACTAAAATCAATCTAAAATTAACCCTCGTTAAAATGAGGCATTGTGGGATGAGAAGAGCAACTACAGTTATGGGACAATGGGAGAGTCGGTCTATCAATCTGGGAATGCCTGCCGGAAGAGATCCATTTTGATAGCCTTCTTGAAGGCATCAAGAGTTGTAATATGATGGATTTCCTCCGGGAAGTCATTCCAAAGTGAAGGCACATCACAAATGATATTGTTGTTCTTACCTAGCCGATGATATCGAACCTCGACTTTTAACTCCTTCTGGAAGATCTTCAGAACCTGTTTATAGAAGCACCATTAACATCCAAGGAACAAGGACACCTGCATGCTTAAACAAGCACAATCCTTACATCTTGTTCTTTTCCAAGAGAAGAAATACTATTTTTAATACAGATATCCATTACATAATTTCACACTAAAAAAAGAAACAAAGAAAACTACCCGTTTTTTTCTTCCTTATGCTAAAAATAGTATATTAAAGTTGAGACACTTTTTTTTAGGAGAAGGGGGGGGGAGGAAATCCAAGTAAATTCTTCCTTGGCTTCTGGAAATCATTCCCAACCCATCTTACAGTTGTGTCTCATCACTGTTTCTTGCAGTGCATTGTCAAGGCTTCTCCAAACTTGTACTCTCTAGAGGTGTTGGACTACAATACCTATCACCCCAAGCTAGCCCAATAATCTTGATGGAAGTGATGGGCATCTCTGTGGAGGGACAGATGCTAGTTTGAAGAAGGCTGCCATAAAACAGGAGTGGGCTAAGTGTGACCTGCAGACCAAATTCAGCCTATGGGCTGTTTCTGGGGCTCCCAGGGATCATTTTTTCCCCTTGAAAATACTCTCTATGAGATATGGAAGACATTTCCACCATGAATGGAGGCTCCCTGGCACCCATAGGAGTAAAAACTTTTTTTGCATTCCCCAACATGCTCTCTAGCAGGTGCAGGGACATTGCCAACATGTTTTGAGAACCTCTCGGCTAACTTTTTTGAAACATTTTTTGAAACATGTCCCAGAAAGCCCAAAAACATGGCGAAAATGTTTCACCTATATGACCTAGAGGGCTTTTGGAGGTATTTGAGTGACATACAGAAGTTTCAATTAGTTTGAGAATTTGTGTCAAGCACAGCTATGTGTGCAATAATATGTAGCAAGCAAAATGTAACTGGTTTGAGAGTGACTACTGGAACATGCAACTCTTTCATAAAGGGATGAATCTCAAATTATTGTTTTCCTTCCCTTAGATATTCTGGCTATTCCCTTTTCTTATTCCACTTGAAATATAGCAGTCACACAGTACCTGTGGCCATAGCTGGCTCTTCCCTGGTCTCCTCTGGTTCCATTTGAGTGCCGCTGTCATGCTGTAGATTTGTCGTGCTACTTTCTAGTGTCCTGTGTTGAAAATAAATTGCATTTAGCTTATGGAAAAAAAACATTATCTTTAAAGCACTGATCATCAATTAATTCAGTTGCCTACTTTCACAAGATATATAATATTCTTTTCAGACCAATGGTGATTTGAAAGAGAGTGATTATAAATATGCTTCCTTGTTTTAATCTTATCACTTGCTCCTGAACTTCAGATTTACAAAAACCGTTCTCCACTGCAATGGGAAAAATGGTTCTCCACTGCTCTTTTCAGAGGCATGTTGAATATTGATCTTCTATTTTTATATAACACACTATTATCCATTTATAGTCCTTTCTTGCATATATAGCCTAATTCTTTTTAAAATCTTTAAATAAATAAATAAAAACTTTCCATTGCATATCTTGGGCAATTAATATGTTAAGTTTCACAGTGTGGGGAAAGTATTGTTTAACATGTGTCTGAATCTGCTGCTAAATGATTTTATTGGAAGTCTACCCATGCTTTAAGAGGGCTTTTTCCCTCTCTACTCCAATACACAGCAACACTGTGACAAACTACCACTGAAGAATAAAAAAGGCCATATAAAAATAGATTTATTATTATTTACCTGGCTGGTTTATTAGTTGGTGGGGGTGAATGTCCTTTTCCAATGTCTTCATTGTCTGTTGGATATGAACAGATGGAGATAACTTGGTTTTAACTTGTCCCTAAAGCATCCCTTGACACCTTATGATCTGGAAGCAAAACCCTGAACGTTCTGCAGAAAAGTGTCCCTATTCCAGCTCATGTTTGTTGTGTTTAAGACTGCAATTGAATTCATTTGCTTCCAAGTCAATCTGCATAGGCTCAGCTGTTCCTTAAACAAACAAACAAACAAACAAACAAACAAACAAAAAATCCAGAATGAAATTCAGTTGGTAATATAACTCCATTGTAGCAGAAAATGAAAATAATGAAAGTGGTAAACTGTGGAGAGGAAAAATAAAAGATCACTGACATCTGATATCAATGGGCCAGCGAATCCACTCCAAGCATTTGTTTGAACTTCAGAAGGTGACAGACCTTTTTGGGGGGAACAGAGTTCAAAGCAACTTGTGTGGCTATTTAAAAAAGGAGGAAGGGAGGAAAAAGAAAAAGAAAAAAAAACTTCTTTTTAAATTTGTGCATGTGTTTTTGTGGATGTAAACCCACTTCTTTGGATGTGGTACAGAGCAGTAATAAATACTTAGATATAAAGTACGGTATATTTACACACTTGGAGAAGTGGGATGGAATGTAAAAGGGTCCAGAAAGATGCAACTCATGTCCCTTGCCTAAAATTTCAAAGGGCTGGGTGAAATGATACAGGTCTGTCAGATTTTTGCAGTGGTCAGTTAGTGTTGATGTGAACCCAGTTTCCCCGGGTGCAAGACTCTGAGAAGGTTCCTTTTGTTGAATGTGCAGTAGTGAGGTCTCTTGTATTAATATATGTATTGTGTCATGAAGCCGTTGCCTTTGTTCTTACCTCTTCTAATCGACTGGAATTTGTGAATATAATTAAATTCCTCCTTAAATTTCCTTGTTCAAAGACCACAACCTGTAAATCACTTACTGTATGTCTAGGAAAGTTGAAATGTTCTGCAACTGGTTTTTGGGTATTGCCATTTCTAATGTCAGATTTCTATCTGTTTATCCTCTTGTGTCGAGACTATCCTCTTTGTCTAATGTAGAGTTTAGAGGAGTGCTGCTAGCATAGGATGGCATATATCACATTAGAGCAATGGTTCCCAAATGTCGGTTCTTCAGGTGTTTTGTACTTTAGCTCCCAGAATTCCTAACTGTTTGACAAGCTGGCTGGGGCTTCTGGGAGCTGAAGTCCAAAACAGCTGGAAAAAATCAAAGTTTGGGGATCACTACATTGGAGAAAGAGCAAGTAAATGCACTTCTGATGTTGTGGGTATGTTACTGGCCTCTGTAATATTGTTCCCAGAGTAGATGTGGGGACAGAAAAGGTATCTGAGGTTGTGATAGAGTCTTGTCCTTGTATTGTGTTCCTGTTATGCACCTGTAAGTCAACTCCATCTTATGGTGACCATATCCTAGGCAAGATTTATTCAGAGGGAGTTGGCCATTGCTTTCTTCTGAGGCTGAGAGAGTATGACGTACCCAAGTGAGTTTCTACAGTTGAGCAAGGATTCAGACGGTGGTCTCCCAGTGTCATAGTCTAACATTCAAACCACTACACTATCTCTCTAGCACCTTTGATACTTTGTTCAGAAGTTGTAAATACAGTGGGCTCTCCATGTTGACTGGTGTTAGGGGCACAGGACCCCCCATGAAAGTGGAAAATCTGCAAATGCAAAACACTAATTTTTAAACCTGAGAAAACAGCTCTAGGAATATCTCTAGGTCCTCCAGCACGTCTACAAGTTGCCCACAGAGTTGTGCTGGAGGACCTACAAAGGCCTAGAGAAGTGTACTCTCCAGGTAAACACTTTATACACATAGCCTGAAGGTAATTTTATAGTCAATATTTTAAAATATTGCATGATACAAAGTTTGTGTATATTGAACCATCAGAAAGCAAAGGTGTCACTGTCTCAGATATTGTCTCTGTGACAATTTTGGATTTGGGAATATTTTGGATTTGGGAATTCTGGGTAAGGGAGACTCAACCTGTCCTAAAATATCTTTATTTATTCTTGGCCTTCCTCCCCTAAAACTGAGTTTCAGATTACAAACTAAAGCAAGTACAGTATAGCTAAAAACAACATTCAGGCCAACATTAAAATAGAATTAAGCTTTCATAATACTAAATGAGTAAGGCACCAGAGTGGAATAGTGGTTTGAGCGTTGGACTGCCGCTCTGGAGACCAGGATTTGAATCCCTGCTTGGCTATGTAAACCCACTGGGTGACCTTGCAAGCCACACTCTCTCAGCCTCAGTGGAAGGCAACGGCAAAAAGTCCTCTGAACAAACCTTGCCAAGAAAACCCCATGACAGGTTCAACTTAGGGGTGCCATAAGTCAGAAATGAATTGAAGGCACACAACAACAAGGCACCAGCACTCTTTGGCTGAGAAGACCTTGCAAAACTACAAATCCCAGGATGCCAAAGGATGGAGCTACAACACTTAAAGCAGTGTCAACCTCCATTCTTTCTACTGTGCAGATGCACCTTATACTTTCAGATCCTACAGGAGCACTGACATCCCTTTCACCTTTTAAACCCACCCTACCCAACCTAAGATGACCAGATGTCCCAACCTCCAAGGAGAATAAAGCACTGCAAAATCTTGGCCATTCAAAAAAACCAAGTAGGGCATGACAAAATAAAAAAGCTAAAAACGCGAATATAAATATAAACTCATTCCATACAGTATAGTCACAGCTACCGCATATTGCATATACCCTATTTTATTATCATTTCATTATTTTTATTCTACTACTGTATGTTATCGTGTCTTAGCCATCCTATTCTTCTATTTGCAGCGAGGACAGGCTGCCAAGTCAATACATCTCTCAAAGGGAAGCAGCAAACAATAGTGCTACTTAATGGGTTTCCATGCTCAAATATGGAGGAATGCCACCTTTGTGGAATGCCTCCTGGGCAGAAATGTAGGACCCTGTTCTGGAAAAGGAAGGTGTCTGGTCACCCTGTCCCAACCCCACTTTAAAGTTTGGTGGCTCTCTGAGGGTGCATCCACACTGCAGGGATAACCCAGTTTGGTCCCACTTTAACTGCCATAGCTCCATGCTATGGAATTCTGGGCATTGCAGTTGGTTGTGGCACCAGAGGTGCCACAACCAACTGCAATGCCCAGAATTCCATAGCATGGAGCCATGGCAGTTAAAGTGGGATCAAACCGGATTATTCCTGCAATGTGGATGCAGCCTGAGGCACCGATGCTCCAGTGGACATTGCGATCCTAGTGACACCTGAATCTGGGCCTCCATCGCTTGCCTCCTCCTGGGGGGTCCAGGGAGCCCCTTCCATCAGACGGTGCTGCTTCCTTGCAACGCGGCCCCTTTAAGAAGAACAAAAGGACCGCCGAAAGTACCAGCGTTCGAAGGCCTTTGTGACGCACCCGGTGTTTTGCATCCTCGTCTCCTAGGAGACGGCGCTGCGTTCCAAACAGGCTCTACCTGGGATGCCCAGCTCTTTGCAAAGGCTCCATCACTTTCTGTTGTTTTGTTGTTGAGTGTGCCTCCAGGTCATTTTTTTTTTTGACTTATGGCAACCCTAAAGTGAAACCTATCAAAGGGTTTTCTTGGGAAGTTTGCCATGGCTGTCCTCTGAGGCTGAGAGGGTGTGACTTGCACAAAGTTACCCAATGGGTTTTCATGCTTCAGCAGGGGAACTGAACCCTGGTTTCCAAAGTTTTATTATTATTATTATTTTGTTGTTGTTATTATTACACGCCTTCACGGCATTTCTGACTTATGGCAACCCTATAGTGAACCTGTCATAGGGTTTTCTTGGCAACTTTCTTCAGAAGCAGTGTGCCATGACCATCCTCTGAGGCTGAGAGAGTGTCACCAAGTGGGGTTTGATGCACCAGTGGGAATGGAACCCTGATCTCCAGTGTTGTAGTCCAACATCCAAACCACTACACCAGGCTGGCTAGTAAGTACTAATGTGATAGGCAGATGTCATCGCTTCAAAGGAGGACAAAGTACCACTAGTTTTTTTGACTTATGGCAACCCTAAGGTGAACCTATCCTAGGGTTGGTTTTCTTTTGGTAAGTTTCTTCAGGGTTTGCCATTGCCATCCTCTGAGGCTAAGAGAGTGAGACATGCCCAAGGGTTTTGATGCTTCAGCAGGGAACTGAACCCTGATCTCCAAAGTTGTAGTCCAACATTCAAACCACTGGCTAGTAAGTACTAGTACACCAGGTACATTACGCTGGCTAGTAAGTACTAGTGTGGTAGGCAGGGTGACCAGATGTCATCACTGCAAAGGAGGACCAGACACCACAAAATGTAGGCTATTCAAGAAAAATGTAGGACATTAGTAAACAAATATAAATACAAATTCAATTCATATGGTTTATTTACAGCTATATTTCCTATGTTATTATGTTTTTTGTCGTTGTGTGCCTTCAGAGTTGTTTCTGACTTATGGCAACCCTAAGGTGAACCTATCATAGGGTTTTCTTGGCAAGTTTCTTCAGAAGGAGTGTGCCGTGGCCATCCTCTGAGGCTGAGAGAGTGTCACTCACTGGGTTTTTATGCTCCAGTGGGGAATAGAACCCTGATCTCCAGAGCTGTAGTCCAACATCCAAACCACTGCACCAGGCTGGAGAGTCCAATAGTGCTGGCATCTCTGTTAAACTGAATCCATTTCTATCAGTTTTCATCACCGCTGGGTGCAGGTCTTTTGTAAAGTTAATGGGTCTTACCAGCTCATGTCCAAGCCATTTCCAAACACTTTGGGTTAGAAGAAGGATAGCTTATGATAATGCCTTTTTGCAGGGAAAAATTAGTTTGGGGGAACAGGGAAATCCAAGGAGAGTGGTAGATGGTGTCAAAATCCTGCTAATTAATAAATTCCAGGGCTTTATGTCTGAAAGCCCTGGGTCCATGGTCTAAACCACACTGCAGAAATAATCCAGTTTGAGATCACTTTAACTGCCCTGGCTCACCAAACTATAGTTCCCAAAATTCCCTAGCATTGAGCCAAGACAGTTAAAGCGGTCTGGTGGATTATTTTTGCAGTGTTTTGGACCCATGACACCACTGAATGCTACAATCCACTGGCCTGTGAAATAAATCTCTTCCCATTTACCTTGCCCTCTCAGAACCCATAACAGAGTACTAAGTAGCATATGGATCACAGGGGATTCCTCTCCACCACCCCCCCTTTAGTGAGGCCAAAGATCCCACAACTATAAAAATAACACAAAAAACAATTACACATTGCAAAGGAATAATAAGGCATTCTCTTATTAAATTACAAGCCACAGAGTGGCTGTATCTCTGTTAATAGGAAAATGAAATCTTTGTTTTTAGGGGGAAATACAACATTTTTAAATAAAAGATAAATACAGATAGGATTACAGCATGGAAAAATAACCAAGGAAGTTTGGTCTTTTGGAATGTGATATTGTCTATTTGTTTTGTTTGTTTGCTATTGGTATATTATGGTTTTATGCTGTGGTTACTCAAATTATACAGTTGCCCCTCCCAATTCGTGGGAGATCTGTTCTGGAACCCCCCCCCCCAAAAAATGGTGGCTTGCAAATATTCGAGCCCCATTGAAAATAATGGCATATGCGCTGGTGCACACCATCATTATATCCCTCCCCGCTTCTCCCTCCCGTGAAGAGCGAGACTGCAGACTTGAAGTCCGTGAACAGAAAGGGACAACTGTATATTAATTTGGGTATATTTAACTTAAGTATATTTATTCTATGTTTTCTGTAAGAAACGTATGTTGCATATGTATATATATATATATATATATATATATATATGGATTTTAAAATATAATTTTAGATATTTTTTTTTAAATAGGAAAATGAAGTCATTGTTTCATAACTCTGTATTTTTAAATGCGGGGATCCCATATTCATCTGAGGAAGTAGGCTCAGGTCTACAAAAGCTCATGCTACCAACTTCTATCTTTTAATTAGTCTCAGATGTGTTGCACGATTCCTTTGCTTAAAATCAGTTAAGCATGGTTGCCTGAAAGGGATCCCCAGGTAAGAGATCCCTTTTCTTCTTGTCCGTTCCTTTACACCTTACAGAACAGTAGGACCAATACAGTGTGAGGAATCTTGGTAGGCCAATGCTACAGGTCTCTAGTACAGACATATTTCACCTCACAAAACCTCTGGCAAAGAAGCTGCTTTTTACAAAGACTTTTTATGCCCACCCAGACATGTTTTTTCTCCTTGTCCTCTGTCTAGCTGGACATTTCTTTTTTTTAAGCAGCATTGGCATTGGGAGGACGGTAAAGAAAGGATGGAGAAACCCACTGGTTGACCTTGGGCAACTCACACTGTCTCAACCTCAGAGGGAGGCAAAAGCAAAAAACCCTCTGAACAAATTTTGCCAAGAAAACCCTGTGACAGGTTCACTTGGGAGTCAGCATAAGCTGTAAATGACTTGAAGGCACACCCCATAATTTTGGCCACTATGCAAATCTTCAGCATGATGCAACATTAGTGATTTTTACAAAATGACATAAAGGGTCAGTTGAAACATATATTTAAAACACATGTTTTCAGTAGAGAGTTTTTACAATTCCCCAAACCAGTCTGCAGTGGGATTTTCAAAGCTATGGCAATGTATTTGTTACGAATAGGACTACTACATTCCTCCTTTGGTTGCAATCCCATGCCACCTCCCTCTAAATTCTATTATACCAGGTGTGGACAAAATGCAGCCTGGTAGCAATGTGTGGCCTCCAAAGGTTGTTTTTGTGGCTCACAATACGTCCAGGTCTGTCCTTTTCCTGGACTCCAAAAGGGTGGATTTCCTTTCCTGGAAGCTTCAAGGAAATTCAATTCACTTTTTAGATAAGGGACAGATCATCTTTGCACAGCTTAAACATCAAGTCATACCAATTTTTTAAAACCAGATATGTACACTCCCATTTTTTTTATTTTTTTTTTTTGCTATTGGATATATATATATATTCATTTTGGCAATTCATTTTGGCAATATGTGTGCCTCTCTGATTCCTCCCACCCCATAGTGAGCACAGTTGGCCACCTCTGCATTAGTAGGATTTACTTCTCAGTAGACCTGCATAGGAGCGGCCAGTGTGGTGTAATGGTTTGAGTGTTAGATCTGGACACTGGGAGACCAGGGTTCGAATCCCTGCTCAGCCATGGAAATCCACCGGGTGACCTTGGGCAAGTCACACTCTCTCAACCTCAGAGGATGGCAATGGCAAACCCTTCTTCAGAGGCAAACCCCTCTGAACCAACTTGCCAAGAAAACCCTATGATAGGTTCTCCTTAGGGTTGCCATTAAGTCAGAAAAGACTTGAAGGCACACCACAACAGCAGATGTGTACAGGATTGTACTCATGATAATTCATCTTCCTTGAGTTGTGAATACTATTCAGCTCAGATATTGCTTTCAAATGAAGTAACTTAACACATTCAACCCATCAAACATAAAAAAGTGATGGCCATTCAAGTTACACATTCATACATTAAGGAGACCAAAGAGATTTGCAAATCTGTAAGGACTGAAAAGGATACAAACAGCTCAGCAGGGAAGGCAGGATGACTTCAAAAAACAGAGGCAATTCCCTAACAATAAAATGTAAAGTTTTCATTTGGAAAATCAAATTCATGATCTCAGTATATGGACTGGCAATGTCTCGGCTTGCTCAGATAGTTCCTGATCTGGTCTGAAAGCACAGCAGAGAAAGTAATAATATTCTTTTCTCATATCAGCTGTGCCCAGCTATTTCCCAGTGTGGAACTCTACAACAGGGATATGGTCAAAAGGTGATGTTTATGCACACCTTCGTATTTGTCTCTTTGGCCTCTCTAGCAGAGAAGTACAAACACTATCCTTGGAAGTGACAGGGGAAAACAGCTGTAGGCATTGCTGTGCTGGCATATTCTGCTTTCAGCATCCCAGTGAGCTCACTTTTGGAATGTACAATAGCTATTCTAGGGGCATACTGTCACAATCTAAAAGGCTCTGAGCCAACTCTAAAGCTCTAAGAATTCAAGTCTTTGCATGTTCGTAGTTCAGTAAATCACTTTCTCTCACGCACACTCAAGTCACCCACATACTCTCACAATGTGTTAAAATATATGCCCTTAAAAGTCTTTTTCATCCTCCAGGTATCATTGCTGCCATTTCCTCTCAGCTATTTGAATGGTGTGCTCAATCTGAAAGAGTTCATAACTGAGAAATGGCTCTTCAACCTGTGAAGTTGTAGGCTTTCATGGCCGGCATCCATAGGTTTTTTGTGGGTTTTTTCGGGCAAAACCACAAAAAACCTATAGCTCTTCAACCTGTTAAGTACAGACATTTTGCTGCTTGTGGAATCAAATCGGTAACACTTTGGTTTCCCAAAAGCTCTATGGGTGGATTAACATTTACATACAATGCGTTTACATTTTCGTAAAGGATTTGGTTTGATATGATGAAACCAGAGCTTAGAAAGTTTACTTTTGGAGGGAGGGGGGAATTACAGCTCCTTGAATCTCCTAGGCCAGTGCTGCCATGTTGGCAGAAGTCAAGGAATTGTAATAATAAAAAAATTAACTTCTTCAAACTTTGGGTGAAATTAACATAATCACAGCCGGATTGTGTCCCCTTGGTTGATGAACTGTTTATAGAGTTGCAGAACATCCCTTTATAGCATATGAACACAATTAGATGGAAGATATGTAAAGCAAGCAGCTAAGAAAGACTAGGTAGAACCAAGCACCTTGTTAGACCATGTCCTGAATGTTTTTACGAGTGTATTACATCCAGATAAACTGCTCCAAAGCTTTCTACTTTGCAAATGATTGGTCAAAATCTCTCTCTTGCAGACAGTGCTCTCAACTTTAATTGGCACTGCTTTATTCCAGAGGATCCAGATGTTCTGGGATGTTAAGATTCAGCCTGTATGGCTAATAGTCAGGGATAATGGGATGTGTGCTCCAAAACATTTAGGATATGCCTTGTTTTGTCAGATGTTCAGTATTAAATCAGAACATTTGTTACATTCAGGGACATTTTAAATTCCTGGATTCTCTTGGGAAGTACATATAATATTTGTATATGAAGTGCTTTGAGCATTGTAAAATACGCTATAAATATCAAGTGTGATTTATTATTGTTATTAATGCAATAGTATTATTGTTGTTCAGACAAGGGTAAGAGGCTCTCTCATTGTGTGTCAAAGCATTACACTAGCATAGCCATCTTAAGAGAATGGGTTTTAATTTAATCCCTTTAAGGCGTTAATCTAATTTTTACATCAGGTATCAAGTACCTGATTCTATTGTCTTAATGGATTACCAAGGATTGTGTTTCCTTGATTTGTGTTTCTGTGTTATCAGAAACTGAGATAGCATTGAATAAAAAGGTGGCACAAACAAGTAAAGGCGAATTATTACCCTTTACTGCTTAGTAAGTTATAGCACAGAAAGGCATGTTATGAATTACATTCAAATAGATATACAATGAGCTCAGTAAAATGGCCTGGAAAATGTAATGCTGCTGCATTAATGAAGCTAAATAGTATGAGCCTGATCAGTAATCTAGATGTGGGATTACAGGAAATCCCTCATAAAAGTTGACTGTATGAATAATAATAATAATAATAATAATAATAATAATAATAATAATAATATTTTCAATATAATTAATTAAAAATATATGGAAGGGAAAACAAATTTACTGAAAGTGAGAACAGAATAAGAGTTTGAGGCTTCATCACAAAGGCTTTTTAGAATATTGCTTTTGCAGAAAATGTTTTAGCTGCACTAGCCTTATAGTTGGTGCTGGTGGACATCTGACAAGGACTAAACATATAGATGCTGGAATATGTATGGAAAGGAACATGAGAGGCCTAGCAAGGGCAGGAAGACCAAGAAGAAAAAACAGATCATTTATCACAGGGTGTAAGTTAATGATTGCAGGACACATTCTGCTTTTAAAGGGTCACATTTTCTTCAATGTCAAAATTGCAAAGTAGTCTTTTAGAGGGAATTTTAAAGTGCACTCAAATGGAAAAATGCAAAACAGAGCTCTTCCAAATAAGCCCAGCAGGCTGGTGTGAAGAACAAGATAGCACCTCCTCTCATCCCATGGACAAATGCCAACTTGGCTACCAGGTGAACCTGTCCTCAGCAATACAACTACATCCCTCATCACACCTGAAGGCAACAGGTTAGCTAGGGAGGCCCAAGGCAAGCCACTTCCCAGTATAGGCTCCCTTGAGCATCTACCTTGCTTTGGCTAAAGGCAGGGCCAGCTCCAGTTCAGAACCTAGATATGCAGGCTTTAGGGGTTCTAGGACCAAGAAAGTTGTTTGTGCAGTGTCACAGAAATAGACCAAAGGTAAACAGGGAAAGAGATTCCACCTCAACATTAGGAAGAACTTCCCGACAGTAAGAGCTGTTTGATAGTGGAGACTGGTGGAGCATCCTTTTGAGGTTTTTAAACAGAGGCTGGATGGCTATCTGTGGGGGGTGCTTTGATACTGTGTTCCTGCATGGCAGGCGGTTGGACTAGATGGCCCTTGTAGTCTCTTCTATGATTCTAAAGAAATCTTTCATCCATGTGCCAACAGTATGAGGTCCAGCAACACCAGAAAATAGAAAATCTTCCAATGCCAAAGAGTTGCATGAGGAATAGAACTCCAAATACCGTAATTATTTTGCAAAATTCTAGCTAGCTGGACTGGCTACAGTCACCTTTTGAGTTTATTACATGGACACTTTTCCCAACAAACACCCCCCCCCCC